CCTTTTATTCCTTCACTTTGCTTCCAAGATCCGAATATCCTTGACTGGAGAGAAAAAAAACTCTCACATAAGCAGTTACAAGAAAGAGGAAATGCCGTTTAAATTATAAAGAGTAAAAAACGACACAAACCAGGCAAGATAAGGGCTGGAAGACGTCCACAGATATCAGAACACACACTGGGAAGGACGCCAAACTCAGAGAGGAACAATAAACTCAGAGATATTTCCATGCTTTGTTTCCAGCGCTCTCCTGTACATATGTCCGTCCTTTTATCCAGTTGTCACAGCTGCAGCCCATGAAGAGGATCAAGGCTCCCTCCTCCCCAGTAGTCCACATCTCTCCCTTATCCTCTCCTCCCTGCGTGCCCCAGGATGGAGAGGGGATGGGCCTGGGTCCTCCTCTGACTGCCCAGCCATCCTCTGCTCTTCCTCAGCCTCCTCCACAACCTCTGGAGCCCCACTTCCACTCCCTGTCGGCTGTTCCTCCCCTCCCTCAACAGGGGCATGACAGAAGACTTCTGGAATGTTTCGGGGGGGGGGGGTGTTGGAGGAAAACATCACCTTCTCTTCCCTGAGTTGATCACACGGGCTGTGAACTCACCACCTTTGGTGCGAACGCCACTCAGATCCAGCTTCCAGGCATCTACTGCATAAAGGCCCACACGCTGCTCACTTCCCAAGGTGGAAAGTCCCGATTGGCAACTTCTTTCTAAAATGGGACCAGGTTCCCCAGAGGAAGAGTTGCAAGGCTAGTTCTGTTCTGACCTCAAAAGCACGAAGCCGATTCCTCATCCCGATAAAACCCCTTGTATTTAGTTTCAAGTGAATTCCTCTCCAGCAAAGTCCTGGCCAATGGTCTTTCAAGAGATTTCACAACTACAGGCCTTGATTAGGCTTGGAGAGCTGCCATGCCGATATCTTTCAAACACCACCCTGTAGCAGACAATACTTGGCAAGTGGTCAGGAACAGATCTTCACCCTCATGAATTGAACTAATTGTCTCCTACAAACCTCAACCCCCCTTCGACTCCTCTTTATTCCCTATGGGAGGGGCCATTCACCGTCCACCTGTGGCTTTACTCCCGAGTCAACCCTTGTTCCTTAGCTGTTCCCTTCTTCTGGCAGCTCTGTGGATGCACACACTGGGAACAGGCTCCAGCTGTTCTTCTGCCTCACTGATCTCCAACTCCGAAGGCAGCTGATTACTGTCAGGCAGCCCTGGCTCCATCTGAGCCTCCAACACACAGCCCTCATCAGAGCCTTCTCCAGACTCCAGGACTGGCCCATGTTCCTCCCCAACTGCCTCACTGACCGAGTCTTCCGCCAGCTCTGCTGGCCGCCGGCGGGCCACAACAGAGAGCTTAGTTTGGAAAGCGAACAACAAAAGTCACAAACCTACATTTGTTTCTATGTTCCCATATCAAAAAGGCAGTGCAGATTTTTTTGAAGGATTGCCAAAACTTGCCAAGCTGTGAACGGAAGCAACGAAAGAGATTGTGTGCAGCATATATAACTCTATTGTTTTGCACACCTTGGGCTTTTTTGAATAAACAACCCCGCTCTTGAAAGCAGTAATAAACGCTTGTACTTCCTTTCCTAGCCTTGCTGAGACGATTGAGAAATGTCAGGTTTCCAAGTGATCAAATCCATTTAAAAAGAAAAGAACAAAGTCCATCTTCCAAGACAATTTCTTTTATTTAGAGAAAGTAAGAAAAAGAATATATACTAAGCCTAACTAAAATGGCTACACATGTGAATTTGCCCTGATGATTGAGAAAGTTGTCCTGACGCCCCTCGAGCAGAGTTACACTGGCTCTCTGCCTTACCAGGAAGCAGAAAATAACATTAGTTCAGGGCTGGAGAGTAAGAGGGCGTCTCTCTGTATGGATCAGGTGGAAATGAGGAATAGGGGCAGTTTGGTGAGCGTGCAATTTGGGCGGGTGGGCAGGCCCAACTGATCACCAGAACTACCGGTTCGTCTGAACCGGTCCGAAACTTAAATGGGTAAAATGTGACCCTGATGGGTTCTCCCGGAGTTATTGGTGGCTTTTGATTGGCACCAACTCAACATGGCCAACTTGCCCCAGGACAACTTGCAGCAGGACAATTCAACGAATACAACAATTGAATTAATTTCAATGGAGCCGTGGCCACTAATAATAAAATAAAGCCAACCCAGAAATACAAGAGTTACAATCATTTTGATGAAAATGTGGTGTCTGCTATGAAAAGTAAATAAAGGAAACTATTAATACAGCTTTGAATTGTCCCAATGTGAGCTCTACCGCAGGAAGTTGACCTGTACCACAGAGAGTTGGTTACACCAAATCGGCCATGGTCATTTGACCTAGTCCCACTTCTGTGCCATTTGATGGGGTCAGGCCTTAGAGTGCTGTTGTGTTCCAATGCTTCATAACAGGGGATATTCAGAAGGTCAGGCTGAGAGACTGTTCTTCAATATCTAAGTTGTTGAGATATGGTGTTCCATGTGGTTGTATCTTCTCCCATACTTTAATATTCACATGAAACTAAGGGGAGAGAATGGAGGTCTTTGAACTCTAGTGCTGGAGAAGACTCCTGTGAGTCCCTTGGACTGCAAGGCGATCCAACTGGTCAGTCCTAGAGATCACCTCTGACTGCTCTTTAGAAGGCCGGATCCTGAAGATGAAACTCAAAGACTTTGGCCACCTTATGAGAAGGAAGGACTCATTGGAGAAGAGCCTAATGCTGGGAACGATGGAGGGCAAAAGAAGAAGAAGGGGACAGCAGAGAAGGAGGTGGCTGGAGGGAGTCCCTGAAGCAGTCGGCGTGAGCTTAAATGGACTCCAGAAAATGGTAGAGGACAGGAAGGCCTGGAGGAACGTTGTCCATGGGGTTGCGATGGGTCGGACACGACTTTGCAACTAACAGCAACAACAAAAGGGGAGAGAATGCTTAGAACTTAGGAGAAAGGTCCAAAGAGTATTCTGATAGTACCCAGATCTACTTCTCCCTCGTATCTAACACCAAGAAACTGATTATTACCCTTGATATTTTCCCAATCTTGAAAATGGCCTCCAAAAATGGGGTGGAAATGAAATGGAGACAAGGAGGTGTTCTTGGCTAAGGAAAAACGTCAGGGATTGTGCAACCCCTATAGCAGCTGCATCCTTTTTTCTTTTTTTTTTAATCTGTGCCGTTGAGCCCATTTAGTTAGGTGGATCCACGCAGCCGTCGGCAAACTTCACTTCCACACGCTTTTCTAATTGTCTTTTTAAAGCCGTTTAAAGGTGGTCAACACAGTAGCAAACTCCTGAAGTTCCACTTAGCAAAAAAGAACTTCCCCCTCATGACTCTTTATCAGAGTCTAATATTTTGAGATAAGTGGTGCAGGCACCACTCTGGCCTTTCCGGAGACCATAAAGTGTTCGGGGCTGGTGGGAGTTTTGAAAACATGGCATCATAAAATGGCTGCCGGGGGTTTGCCTATCACAGAATGGCTGCTGTTCGGAGGGGGGAATCAGCCCGCCCCCCAACTCCAGATGGAAAGCTGTTTGAGGGCTCCCTGTCACCCCCAGAATCGCCCTGCCATCTGTCCGATTACCTTTGTGGTGGGTTTTTTGTGTGCGTGTGTGTGTGTGGTTCTTTCGCATCCAGCGGACACTTTTCCTAACAAGCGGCCTGAGTTTCAACTCGCCTTAGTGCGTTGGTTGGGTTTGTTTTTAATTTTAATGTGTGCGGATCTCTCCGGGACCTTAGGTGAAAATAACGATGATGCTAGAAGGGGAACATTTGCTTTTCTGCATGTCAGCTCCTAATTAAAAGAGAGAGAGAGTTTCTCAACTTTCTTGGCAGAGGTTCAGAAGTGCAAAAATAAAGGTTGTTTATGATTTAGGAGGAGGAGGAGTCGTGGGGGGGGGGGAGGACATCAAAAGGAAACATCCAGAAGAGCCTTAATACAGCAAAGATGCTGACAAGCACTAGGAAGAAAGCAAGAGAAGAGCAACTAAGATGATAAAGAGTCCCGGAGGCTTAAACCTTGCCAGGAGTCCTTGAGTTATTGACCCCCAAAATGCTATGTTTCTTAGGGGAGTTTTGCTCCATTTTACGACTTGTGGGAAGCGAAGTTTTCCAACGGCTTTAAATCCACATTGCTTAAAGGGACTCAACAACTCCGCTAAAAAACAATGCAGCCAGGACAGGGGTTGCATCAAAACAGGGGTCGCCAACCGATAGGCCGGGAGAAAATTTCGGTGGTCCGCAGAGAAATGTCCCCTCCCCAAAGCAATTAATCCAGACTGCATGGGAACACAAGGCTGCGCCGCCCACGTGGCTCAACCGCCCGCTGGCCTCCACCTTTCGGCCAAGCGCAAACCTTACCTTGAGTAGAGCCACGCGAGCTGAAACTGGGAGGTGAGACCAACGGCCGGGGAGGGAAATCCGCCCCAGGGTGGCTTGCTGACGTTGGTGGGAAAGTCGGTCCCATATTCCAGAGCTGCCAGTAGCCACAGGACGGGCCCTTTGGTCATCCCGGAGCAGCTCCTCCAGTCCATGGCAGGCCGGTGCACCCGGGTGGAGAAGCAGCTGCTCCGGGATGACCAAAGGGCCAGTCCTGTGACTCCTGCAGCTCTGGAATACGGGACCCACTTTCCCACCAACGTCAGCAAGCCACCGTCAGTCAAAATCCGTATTAGTGGTCCACGGGATTTTAAATTATGAGTTTGGTGGTCCCTGAGGTCCAAAAGGTTGGCGACCCCTGCATTAAAGCATCAAACAGCTTGGGGAGGAAAGAAGAGGAGGCTGCTTTAATGAGAAAAAGAAAGCGATTATGATAGCCTGAGAAAGACATTACAGAGGGTGGTGAGCACAGCCTAAAACATTGTGGGCTGTTCCCTGACACCACTAGATGAACTCACTAGGGCTCGCTGCCTTAGAAGAGTGAGGAAAATCCTCAGGGATGGCTCGCACCCCGGTCAGCACTTCTTCACTCTCCTACCATCGAGTAGGAGATAGAGAAGCATAGCCAGCCACACCAACAGGCTGAAGAACAGTTTCTACCCGTGGGCTGTCAGACTCCTGAACTGAAAGTAACTTCATGTCAACGTAGTAGGATAGACTTTCAGGGCTGGTGTGTTGTGCAACAAGGTCACATATTGTAGTAAGATTGGGATTGGGTTAGGGACTTGTTCTGACCCAAGCCTCGTTCAAAGCAAACAAATACCAAACAGAGATAAAAGCAAATCCTTTTTAATGCTTCTCTGTGAATTCTGTTCATTCACAGTGAAACGCTATTAAAAACTAATTGTCCCAGATAAGAATGAGCCTAGCCAAGGTTGTGCCAAGGCTGCCCAAGAACACTGGATTAAATTGCAAGGAAATTATCAAAACTCCCAAGTCTCCAAACACAAACCAGGATAGTCCAAACTTCCACAAGGCTTGAAGTGCAAGAACTTGCTTCCTGCAAAGAATCCCACCTCTGGGAGCTGGCTTTTATCCCTTCACAGGCTCCTCGGGGACCTCTTCCTCATTGCTGCCAGCCTCCACCATCTCCGAAGGCAGCACTCCACTCCCTGATGGTCCTGGTCCCATCCCTGAATCACACGCAGGCCCCTCATCTGAGTCCTCGCTCTCCGAGACCTCAGCCGTCCGCACCTGCTGCCGGCGAACCACAACCGGACTTCTGTCCTCACTGTGAGTTGTGTTGGAGGTGTGTGTGTGTGTGCACAAAGAGAGGCTCAGCCAATCTCACTGGACCCATGTTGTACCCTGACAATAAAGGTAATAATAATTAGCCCTCCTATTCCTCTTCTTTCTCTCTCTCCACCGCAGCTGTCAGGTACGCTGGGCCGAGGAAGACCAATCTCACCTAATCAGCTTGTAGAACTAAGTGCCTTTGATGGTGGCAAAGCCAGGATCAGTGTCACAGCCTTAACCAATAAAGGCCTTTCTTGCTCCAGACCTAGAGAATGCAAAGAAGCCGCTTTTGCCAGCTTGTTCCTAATCTACATGTGCCGTAAGAGGTTCTGCTCAGGGTGCTCTTAATCTGTTGAGGTGTGGCAGATGGGTCCTCGGGAATCTTAACCCCACCCCCCCCAATAAGATGGCCTCTCCTAATTCTGGAGCATTCTTCCCCATGAGCCTAGTTTATGGTGTCGAATGCTTTTTTTTTTCCCACACATCATCACAGCTGTCTTAGCGTTTCTGCTCTGATGGCTTTGCTTTCTAAGTCGATTCATCTTCGATATTTTTAAAGCTTTTCTTAACCTCTGCTGCTTTTAATTTGCTGCTCTTCTACAATTTGGCTTTAATTGCTTTGTTGTGTTTTCGAGTTTGATTTACATGACTTTTCCTGGGGTTTTTGATGGCACCTTGCCCTGGGAGCTATTAGCTCCAGGAGGGGGGCAGGCTGACGGTTATAAATCTTCAGCGTGCATAAGTCAAACTGTGACACTGGGATGGGGGTCTGTGGTTCGGGGCTGCTCACAACCACAGCCACCGAAAAGGATCCCGTTTCTTAGGGAAAGAAATTAGAAAAGACAAGGGGGCTTGCGGCCTCAACTACAGAGTGAGCTCATTCTCATTTTGAAAACCGAAATGACAGATGCAAACAACCGCCAAAGTAAACCCCAGCAAAAACCGTCGTTCTCCAACCGCTTTGTGCCAACTGTCTCCTTTTAAAATTAATTGGCAAAAATCATTTTTGATTCATTGTTCGCCCACTGCATGAATGAGCCTACATTTGCTTGCCTTAATCATTCGCATTAAAGAACGTTTCAAAGGTACAATTTTCTTCCAGGATTTTGGTAATGATGACATGGGGGGGGGGGGGGGGCGGAATGAGCTCATTCAGCGATGCCTTTGCACGAAGTTTCTTCCTTCCTCCCCGAGTTCCTTTCTCAATGGAAATCCTATCGTTGGAAAAACAGGACTTTTCCTGTCTCTTCTTCTTAAAAGTTTTGCAGGATTTCAAGACCAGGAGGGGCCAAGGAACCTGCAAACGCTGGGGGGGGGTGGGGGGTGTTCAACCTCACCGCGCTCTCAATTCTTCAGAGCAATGACGGCGGACAACCGCCAGTTTTGGCTTGGCTTTAGCTTTAACTCAGAAGCAGAAATTCTTACCGTTTTTTATTTTGCAACAAGATGCTACCCCTCTCCCTTTGAGAAAATTCCCACCTGAGATTTTAGGCAGCGCTTGTGATGACCCGGGGCGTGACACGAAAATAACACAGTCACAGAAGTGGAATAAATTCCCTTTAATGCCTCCAATTTGGGCCCCAATGTCCAATTATCCTCGGCTGGATATCAAACTCTTCCAAAAACAGTCTACAAGGTAAAGAAATGCAGTCCGAACCCAAAGTAAAGATAATTAGAAATTTTAAAAAAAGCACCACAAACCACGCTGAAGTAATTAACGCCGCAGGCCAAGATAATAAATTGCAGACTTCCAAACGATAACGAAGCACACACAGTTGAGAGGATGCCAAAACCCAGATAAGCCTCGAGAAAGATAATGCACGCTTTGCTTCCAGCAAGGAGTTGTGGGCAAACGCCCCTCTTATATCCTGTTCTCCCAGCTGCAACTAATAAAAGGGATCAGGGCCTTTTCCTCTCCCGTAAGCCATGTTGCTCCCTTCTCCGTTCCTCCCTGTGTGCATTAGGATAGAGATGCCCAGTCGGACTGTGCTCTTCCCCCGTTTCTTCCACAGTCACCAGAGCTACACTCCCACTCCCTGTCAGCTGCTCAATCTCCCCCTCAGAATCAGACTCCAACAAGGGCATGACAAAAAAGAAGGAAGGAAGGAAGGAAGGAAGGAAGGAAGGAAGGAAGGAAGGAAGGGAGGGAGGGAGGGAAATGAGCAGAAGGAAGGAAGCTGTGCAGGGACAGTGGTTAGAATACAGTATTGCAGGCTAATCCACTGCCCACTGCCAGCAGTTTGATCCTGACCGGCTCAAAGTTGACTCAGCCTTCCATCTTTCCGAGGTGGGTAAAATAAGGACCCAGATTTCTGGGGGCAAGAGGCTGACTCTGTAAAAATGCTTAGAGAGGGCCGTGAAGCACTGTGAAGCGGTATATAAATCTAAGGGCTACTGCTGTTAAGAAAAAAAACAGTGATATTTCTCCTCCTGGGATAAATGCCTGCGGTTCCCGGACTTACTTCCTGACAGTTTACCAGTCCTTGGGGGGGAAGGAGAGGAGGGGGCGTTTATTAATCCCTTTTAAGCCTCTTTCAAATGTGACGGTACCATCTTTGGCCCGGGCTGCTTGTTAACCTGGTCAAGGGAACAGATGTAGTTTTGTTCTGGAAACCAGCAGAGAAGAACTGTTCGTGGGCACAACGGATCATTATCCTTCTCTCAAGATGAGGGCCCTTCTGCCCCATTACGGCATCTGTTCCACAAGGCTGGCGACTCAGCCAATTAGCCAAATGTGCCTCCTAAACCCGGTGATTACCATTTCAGCTGATTAATCAGGCTAATTGATTAGCGCTCACGGGGAGGGGAGGGGGGCTAGGCGGTCCTAAGCCCCTGTGCCGGAAGCCGGAGCAAAAGGTGTGGCAATCTCGTGGGTGCCTGCCCTTCTCACCTGAGTCTTGGCCGCTGGGGCCACCTAGCGGTCGGTCCTTGGCTTGCAAGCAAGGCAGCAACTTGCTTACCTGGAAAAGCCAGCGGAGAACAGGAGGGGGACACTTGGCTAGTCCGTGATAGATGAACCCAAGGCTGCCACTGTGGAGGATCGCCAGCTGCTGAGAGGAGCTGGAGTTGGAGCTGTAGGGAGAAAGGCGGAGAATTCAAAAAGATGTTGAGACTCTAGAAAGAGTGCAGAGAAGAGCAACCAGGATGACGAGGGGACACTGGAGGCTAAAACATACGATGGACGGTTGCAAGAACTGGGCCTGGCTAGTCTAGGGAAGAGAAGGACCAAGGGACACAGGAGAGCATCTTCCAGTATTTGAGGGGCTGCTCCAGAGAGGAGGAGGGGGTCAAGTTATTCTCCAGATGACCTACAAGGCCCCCTCCAACTCTGGGGGCCAAGCTATTTTCCAACACACCTGAAGGCCAGACAAGGAATAATGGATGGAATTCCGAAATTCTGGGAGTTGAAGTTCACAAGTCTTAAACTTGCCAAGTTTGAAGACCCTTGCAATAAAACTATTTTCTGAGGAATCTACCTGCCTCGGACTTTCGTTTGCTATGGGTGTATTACTCGGAACGCTGACATTTAGTCCTTGGCGCTCTGAGAAGAAAATGCTCAGCTCGAGGTTTCTAACCCACGGGGACGTCAACGCTTTTGGTGACAAAGCCAGTCCTTGTTCTCCAAGGGCACAAGAGGGAGCACATTCCAAGGAAGGAACGCAGCAGCCAAAAGCTGCATTTGAGTTCAGGTCAGTAAGAGAAGCGTGTGGAATAAGATTCCTTGTGAATTTAATCATTCCTCCCCCTCTTGCCACTATAGGAATTGAGTTTTTGTGACAACCTGGGGCGGGGGCGTGTTTCTAAGACCCTCATTCAAGGTTTGTTGGGAGGAGGGGGGGGTTCACCAGCCACCCTGAGGTCGAAGGTGACACACTCCCACTACAAGACAACAGCAATCCATCTGAATGCACAATGGAAAGCAATTTGCCAAGTTAAGGGCGGTCAACGTGAAATATGTACAACCCAGCGTGCGAAATCCTGAAGGTCTCCAGATTCTTTAGATGTCATGGGATGGTTTTAAAGGCAGCCTGGAGAAGCACATTGGAGGTTGCAAGAAGACACTGGACAGTCACTTATCTGGAATGGTATAGGGTCTCTTGTGAATTTCGTTGTATGTATACTGTGTACATACATACAAGGACAATAAAGAATTCAATTCAATTCTACCAGGGGTTGGATTCTACCGGTTTGGACTGGTTTTATAGAACTGGTTGTTATGATTCTGTGCAGTTTGGAGACCCGGCAAATCATGCCCCTGGCTGGCCCCGCCCCTCTCTGCCCACCCTGCCCCTCCCCCACCCAGTCAGTCCTTTAATGAAGGCCCACTTGGGATAGCAACGCCTTCCGAGGGCTTCCTTTCTTAAGGGTTGTTTCTTTTCTTATTTTTCTTTTCGGCTTCTATTCATTTTCTTCTTCTACTTCTTTAAATACGGTTTTATCAGTAGCGGACGTGGATGTTAAAGTAAGGAAACGTAGAATCCGCATTTGCCCTGAAACACAAATGCTAGCCAACTGGGGGAAAGCGCTCTCAAATAGCCTTTAAACCAGGGGTCCCCAACCTTTCAGACCTCAGGGACTAATAAAGTAGACCTGTGATGGGGGACCTATGGCACGTGTTCCACAGGTGGCAGGCAGAGCCATTTGTGCAGGCACTCAAGTCCCAGCCAAAATTAACTGCACTGAGCACGCACGTGCCTCCCAGGTGATTTTTGGCCCATTTGAGGCCATATTCGCTCTCCCGGAGGCTCGAAGAAAGCCTCTGCAGCCTCGGGAGGCTGAAAAAAGGGCCTTCCAGAAATACTGGAAGTGCCGAAACAGGCCCGTTTGGGGGGCTCCAAAGGCTGCAGAGGCCTCCCTCGAGCCTCTGGGAGGATGAAAACGGCCTCAAACAGGCCAAAAATCAGCTTCCCTTCAAGAAGAAGAAATGTGAGGACCCAGAGTATCTTGGAAATATAACGAAAACCAAAAGTAAATAAACGTCCTTTAATGCCTTCAACTTGGCTTCACCGTTTAATTGCTCACAGCGGAGGAGTAATCTGTTTTCAAAATAACATTTCAAAGGAAAGAAACACAATTCAAATTCAAAGAGCTGATAATGAAGCAAAAAACAAAAAAAAAACAGACCGCCCTGAATAAAGTTCCACGACAGACCAGGATAGATAATTGCCAACTTCAGGAAGACAACCAGGTAGAGTCTGTTGGAAGAACGCCAACCAAGATAAACCTTCTTTCGGAATAAAACGCTAATGTGCACGCAGGTCCAAACTCTTATGCAAATCTCACACCTGCAACCCATGAAGAGGATTAAGGCCCTCTCCTCCTGAGGAGACCACGTCTCTCCCTTATCCTCTCCTCCCTGTGTGCCCTAGGATGGAGAGGGGATGGGTCTGGGTCCTCCTCTGACTGCCCAGCCGGCCTCTGCCCTTCCCCAGCCTCGTCCACCACCTCTGGAGCCACACTCCCACTCCCTGTTGGCTGTTCTTCCTCTTCCTCAGAGTCTGACTCCACCAGGGGCATGACAAAAAAAGCAACTTGGAGACAACTCGGGGAGTTGAAGTCCCGCGAGGCTTCAAGTTGCCATGGTTGGAGACCCCTGCTTCAGAGCAGCTGCCCAGAGGTCAATTCCTGCCCCATTGCTAAGGGGAATTCAGAGAGACAAGTCGGTCCTTCCAGACAGAAGCCTCTTCATGCCTTTTCAAGCGCTGGAAGTCTTGTCCAGAGGAGTTGCTTCTGCTGTTCCCTCTGCCCTTGACACAAACCAGAGCTCTTTCCATTGTCATCTCTGCTCGCCAGCTCAATTGCAGCCCTCGGGCAACCCAACCGGGCAGCCCAACCGGGGTTTGGATACGGGGAGAGGCAGCGGGAGACTTGTCTCGGATCACTTGAAACCAAAGGACCCTTTTTTTTTTTGTTAGATAACAGAGGTCACCTAAATTTAGGCCGGGTCAGCTCTTTTGATCAGCTGGATCAAGACTTCCAGCTGCCAGAGGCCAATTCCATTTGAGAGGAGCCCAAAATGGAAATCTGAAGACTCGGGGCAGGGGGAAAAGAAAGGCTGAGGGCAGAGCTTAAATTGGTAACTCTCCCCCCTCATGGAACTATACAAGAGACGGATTCAGAAGAACGGCCTTCTGACTCTAGCTTTTGTCCTGTCCTTCGCTGTGGCTTTTGCCCTGCACTAATCGGTTAATAAAGAGGGGGAAACCACACACATCTGTTGGGTCATTAGAGCTCTCTCATCTTGGTTTTCTTGCAGATATTTCATCATTGTGGGTACTTCATCACTGGAGGGTTTTAAGAAGAGACTGGACAGTCACTTGTCTGAGATGGTCTGTGGTCTCCTGCTTGGGCACTATAGAGACGCTACAGAGCCCTGCACACCAGAACAACTAGACACAAGGGGAGTTTTTTCCCCCAAATGCCATCACTCTGCTAAACAAATAATTCCCTCAACACTGTCCAGCTATTTACAAACTCTGCACTACTATTACTATTAATCTTCTCATCACTCCTTCTCGCCCATCCCCTCCCACTTGTGACTGTAGGACTGTAACTTTGTCGCTTGTATCCTTATGGTTTATACTGAATAATTCCTAGTATGATTTGATTGTTGATTGTTCCCTATGACTATCATTAAGTGTTACATCATATGATTCTTGACTCTTGATGAATGTATCTTTTCTTTTATGTACACTGAGAGCATTTGCACCAAGACAAATTCCTTGTGTGTCCAATCACACTTGGCCAATAAAGTATTCTATTCTATTCTATTCTATTCTATTCTATTCTATTCTATTCTATTCTATTCTATTCTATT